TTCGAATTACTTTCTAAAGCATTTCTAAGTCTTGACCTTTTGCAAGCTAATGATTTGAGAGACCCTCCCCTCTACACCCAACTTGTGTGAGGGGGGAAACTTTCACATGAAGCTTTTCTCTACTGTGAGAAAAAGCAGCTGCTTCCATCCCACCAGCAGATTCCTTAGACAGATTATGAAGACAGCAGAGTTCACTTCCCTATGCCTCCACTTGTGTTTTCCTCTGATGTTTCGGATACTAAAGACAGGGAGGGCTGGTGATGAGTGACTGCGAGGTGAATCAGACTAATTTTCAAGCAAAAAAGTCTTAAGGAGAATGGAAAGATTCAAAGCTCCCTGGGCAATGGAAGTGACCCAACTCCAGACTCTTTCATCTTTGTGATGATAAACTGGCACTTGACAAGTGACCGCAGGCCTGATTCCTACATTTTTAAAATATGGACGTGTTCCACATTATACCAGAGAAGCTATCTCCCCTGTGAAACATCTTACACCAAATGGGTGTCCCAGAATGCAATTCGCTTCTGACACTAATTGCATGGAGTGAGGGCAGATCCCCCAGCTGAAGGGATCTGTCCCCCCAAGACTGCCTCCACTTCCAGATGACAGTCACAAGTCCCAGGCCACCACACTTCTGACTGATCAGCAGTAAGTTCATGAACAACCCTCTCAGGTTCAAAAATTTACTAGGACGACTCAGAGAATTCAGGAAAAAAACTTTACTTATGTTTGCTGGTTTATTATAAAGGATACAACTCAGGAACAGCCAAATGGAAGAGGTGTATATGCAAGGTGTGGTGGGGGGGAGGGATGCAGAACTTTCATGGCCTCTTAGGACCCACCACCCTTCCAACACACTAATGTGTTCCCCCAACCCAGAAGCTCTCCAAATACTGTCATTTAGGGGTTTTTAGGGAAGTTTTAATATGTAGACATGCTTGAGTAAATCAATCATTGAGATTAAACTCAATCTCTAGGGCCCCCCTCTTTCCCAGAAGGTAGGCTCAAAGTTCCCACCTTCTCATTATTTGGTCATTTCAGTGACCAGCCCCATCCTAACACTATATAAAGGCCTCACCCTAAGTCACCTCCACCAGCACAAATCCAGGTATGAGAAAGAAGGCTTTTCAAGAATAACAAGACACTCAGAAAATTCCAAGGATTTTAGGGAGTTCTGTGCCAGGACTGAGGACAAAAACAAAATTTATTTCTTATTATACCACAAAGTTAAAAGCAAGAAGAGGATGAAGGCAAGTAAAACTGAAATTAAGAACAGTTTTTACAACTCAAAGGAAGAATATATACATATACATAATATATGTTACCTATATATAAAACATATATACATAGCATCCTAATAATAGAGAATGTCTGTCAACTGGGTAAAAATTAGTAGCAAGTAGATTACCTCACCTTATTACCTCAGAGATACAAACTTTTTTTTAAAAAAAGATTTTTATTTATTTAACACAGAGAGAGAGCACACAATCAGGCAGAGCATCAGGCAGAGGGAGAGGGAGAAGCAGACTCCCCGCTGAGCAGGGAGCCCGATGCGGGACTCAATCCCATGACCCTGGGATCAGACCTGAGCTGAAGACAGACGCTTAACTGACTGAGAGACCCAGGCGCCCCGAGATACAAACATTTAAAGCCACTTAGTAAAGGACATAATCCAAGGTGGTGTTTACACTGTCAATACAAGATGTGCTGTGGGGCGCCTGGGTGGCTCAGCTGTTAAGCGTCTGCCTTCGGCTCAGGTCATGATCCCAGGGTCCTGGGATCGAGCCCACATCGGGCTCCCTGCTCGGCAGCGGGAAGCCTGCTTCTCCCTCTCACACTCCCCCTGCTTGTGTTCCCTCTCTCGCTGTGTCTCTGTCAAATAAATAAATAAAATCTTAAAAAAAAAATACAAGATGTGCTGTAAAAAGATGAATTCCTGCAGTAATGTCTTTTATATATCACCTCAGAATTCAGATTGGAGTCTAGAGAAGACTCAACATGTAGAGCACTTAAGAGGGACAGGTAACTTGCTATGTACATTTCCACTGCGCTAGCCAAGATTTCCCACTTCAGAACATGCATTTGTAACAGAAACCCTACAACAGCATTCCCTCACGCTGGATCTATCACTGTATTACTTCCCTGTAAGAGAAAGTAAGATATTTCTCTTTTCTCAAAATGAGAAATTGATACTTTAATCCTTACTAGATTTTAGCTGGGTCTAGATGTAATGGTCTCAGACACTCAGGGAAATAGACCAGTCAACCACCAAGACTCCACACCAGTCTTGAAATGTGATTCCCCAGACCAGCTACATCAGCATCACCCAGAAACCTGTTAGAAATGCATATTATCAAGCCCTATCCTAGACTTACTGAATAAGAAACTCTGCGGGTGGGCCCAGCAATTAACAAGATGACCACGCAATTATGATGCATGCTCATATTCTAGAAGCATTCAGACACTGCTGAACTGTTCTGTTACTCTTTTTTTTTTTTTTTAAATTCTGTTGCTCTTGTTTTCAGCATATAAGATTCTTAAAGAGCTCAGAGATTTTTTGGTCCCACAGAATAGGAAGTCAGATAACAAGAAAATTTCCTCCAATAAACAGATGGTTTTCCTGGTAACTACTGGATCCACTGAAAGCAATTCTTTTTCTAAACATCACTTAACCCAGAGGCAACACGTTTTCTTTTCATTAACTTTCATGGTGACTCATGGCTTCTTCTAAACCACAAGATTTATTCCTGAGCCTTTTAAAGATCTTTTTTTAAACATGTTTCAGTTACCCATTATCGATATTCTATACCAATGAGCTTTGAATCATTTTATATTTTACTCAGTATAGAAAAATAGGAAAGTATACACTTGGGAGCCAGTCTGCCTTAGCCACTTATCAGCAGTATGACCTTCGGCGAGCTACTTAATCTCTCTATGCATCAGTTTCCTCATCTATACACTGCAGATAATAGTAATGTCCCTTGTATACGGTTGTTATGGGATTAACTGTTAATACATACAATGCATTTAGAACAGCGCCTGCACACGGGAAGCACCATGTTAAATGCTTACTATTCCTATCATAACTACAGTAGTTCAGGGACCTAGATAACAGAGAGGGAAAGCCACCCTAGGAAGTGTTAGGACAACTGATCGATACTAAAGCCAGCTGGGGATCTCCCCGGGAACTGCAGGAAAGATCAGATACAAAGAGCAAGGAACTACTCTACAATTGCAGGTACAACTTTCCATACAAGAGAGGTAATGCGTAGTAGTCTAGAACCAGAAAGTAAATGACTCATGATCAAGGGTAACTGGCCACCAATATCATACTGATCTAAAGACTTAAATGAAGATTCAAGAAAAAGAGGTAAGAGATTAAGGTACAAATCGATCCACTGGCACTAGCCAGCCAGGAGCAAGGTTTCCATAAGGTTCCATGTTAATGAATAAGCTAGAAAATCTTCAATTCTAGAGTGACTACCTGGTTAATCATTCATTTATGCCCTCAAATCAGGCGAGCTCAAGAAAGATGGTTAAATCACCACCACTCAAGAGACAATTTATCCTAAGGCAACTGGAGAATCCTATAGCATTTAGTTGGCTGCATCCCCAGTAACCACTTCCCTTTTCCTGTTATATTCCAAATTTTCTAGCCAAGCTGTTCAGATGAGACTGACCCTTCCCCACCTCACCCCACAACCCCCCTCACTCCAGAAGTGTGTCAGGATTAGCTGATGTCAATCAGCATATCCTTTTCTCTGACTTTACTTGGAGAGGGATTGTGAGGGAGGCCTCTGGCCCAAGGCAGGATCAATCAGGCCAGTGAGACTGCTCTGAGGGCCATGGTAGAAGTACTGGGGCGGCAGAAGTGCTCTTTTCTCCTGGATATCCTTACAGACAGATCTGGGACCTGGGGCAGCCATCTTGGAACTACAAGGCCAAAAAATGTAGAGAAAGAAACGGCCCTGGTCACACTATTTAAGCCCAGGAGTAAGTCTTGCTTAAAGGCCAAATTTGTCTTCAATGTGACCAATACATTCTCTTTATCATTTAAACCACTTTGGGTTAGGTTTCCTTTTGCTTACAGTCGAGAGAACTCTGAATGATACATGCATCATAATCAGATGACACCATAAAGGTAACAAGAAAAGTCAGCTATGCGAACAATTAACAGTAAACTTACCTGGCTGACATGGCTACAATTTATGGGTAACAATCAAAGACATTAAGAAAAAAAAAAATCATTAACCCACTTTTCTCATCTGGAAACCATTTGATTTGAAATCTCAAAGTTTAGATGCAAGACCTTAAATAGACTCCACTTTGATCTCTGGTTTACATATATTCAGTATTGCTGAGTTTTCATCATGATGGAACCCTTTCTGGATTTTCAGGGCAATTTCAGGGCAAGACACTGCCCACCCCAACTAGGGCGAGGGTGAAAGCGTGTTCTAAGCATTCAACAGCAACAAGGGAGTGAGAAATCACAAAGGAAGGATGTGTTTATGCTAATTTTAATGAGTCGATAGCAAACTGACCTGTTATAGCATTAAACATGCCCTTACCAGATTAAGCTATTGCTTTTTTACATCTAAAACCCTTGCATGTGATACTAACCACCCTTGGTCACCCAAAGTAAGTACTCTACTACTGTAACAAGTCAGGTCAACTAATGTATCACAGGAACTAAGCACACAGGCTGATGTGTACATTTTTCTGTATACAGTCCAGTAGGCTGCATTATTTTGAAACATAAGATGAGTCAAAAAATTCTTACAAACCTAGAGCAGCTCCAAAAATCACTCAATCATTTTGGCCTTAGGAGGGACAGGTCTCCAAATATGGACCTGGCTATCTTATGCAACGGTCAGCTTGCCCTCCTGGCACATACTGATGTGGAGGGGAGCTGACCTTCTTGTAGGGGAGACAGGGTGGGTGATTTTAAAGGGAGCGCTAAGGGCCGCTGGGCCTCTGTAGAGGGGCAGGAGGAGACGCACCTGCCAGAGCCTTGATGCGGGAGCGCTCGAAGAGCCTTGCGGAGCTGTTCTCATTGTCCCAGTCATCCACGTCCCAGCGGTTGTTGACATCGCTGTACTGCTGTTGAATCTCAATGTTGTCATAGTCTGTGGCTACTGTGGTCGTCATCCTGAACTGTCTCAGCTGCTCCTCCACATCAGCTCCTTCTTAGAGTTCTGTGACAAAGGGAAAGAAGACCCGATTTAGATGTCTAAAGTGCGCCACGTCCCTAAGAAACCTGCTGGGTTAGAGGTGAGTAGAAGATGAGACAATTCCTACAAGTCAAGAACAGATTTCCGGGGTCAATCGAAGATAATTTTGAACATCAGCACTGCCTCAGAACAGGTGTATGACCTGGGCCAGGGTACGTAACATCTCTGAGCCTCAGTTTCCCCAACCATTAAAAAGGAAAGATAGTCTCCATGTTGTTGAAAGGACTGAATGAAATGACAGACACCCAATCCAGGGTGGGTTTCTTCCCTCTTTGTAAAGTTTAAGCTCTGCAATTTTAAAGTTTTATGTAAGCTGGATGAATACCTACTTGGGGCTTCTGAATGAACTCATTTATTTCTACTCTGTACCACCATAAACTATAACCTTTTAGCTTCTCCTGGAAATTCATAAAATGTTATATAAGAGAACATGTTGTTTCACCTAAATATCTCATTTTCCTATTAGAAAACAGATGCCTAAGATCAAATGAGTTAGTAAATGTAAGTCACCAAGGACAGTTCCAGTGCACAGTAGAGGCTTAATAAGGAACTACTGCAATTATTTATATTGCAATTATTTACAAATTCTATGACCAAGACCCAGTTCTCAGGGACCAACCCAGGGCACAGTATTTTACAGGAACAAATAAGAACCTAGCCTCAACTTTTGGTCCACTGCTATCTTCACTTTATCAAAATGCCCTCAGAGAATTATGAGAATACATTTAGCTTTAAATATAGCTTCTTCCCTCTTCAGTACAGCTATGATGCATCCACTGAACCGGAATGTACTGAGAACTTACTACATGCTCAGCACTGTTTCAGATGCTAGGGATAACAGTAAACAAGATAAGGACTCAGCTCCAGGGAAGCCTATGGCCTTGTAGGAGGAGCCGGACAAAAAGCACACAAGAAAAGGCAAAATAGTTGCAAGAAAATAAAAAAGCGGAGGCAATAGAGTCGTGATCGACCACACTGTATTATAAACTTCAAAGTTGCTAAGAGACTAGATCTTACTGTTCACACCACCAAAAAAAAAAAAAAGAAAGAAAGAAATGCTAATTACGTGATGTGATAGAGCCCGTTAGCTAATGCTACAGTAGTGATCATATTGTAATACAGAAATATATGAAATCAACATGTTGTTGATTTCCTTAAACTTACACAATGTTATATATCAAATATATCTCAATTTAGGAAAGAAAGAGAGATTGAGACTATTTCATATTTCAGATCTAGTGGTCAGGGAAGGCCTCTCTGAGTCAGTATTTAAAGTGAGATCTCAATGTCAAAAAGGAACAGGTCACGCCCAGATCAAGAGAAATAGCACTTCCAGGCAAAGGAAAGCCTTTATGTTGAGAAGCAGGATAGCTTGTTGGAGGAATGAAGAAGTCAATGACCCATATAAGCACCCACCGTGGCTCAAACACAAGCATTTGGATGGAAGTAAAATCCTGGATACCAATCATGTAGACATAATCAATCCCAGCCATATAGACTTATCAGTAGATTAATTTTAACACCTACATTAGCAATGTATTTACCAGATTTCATAAAAACACACAAAAAAATGACAGAAACCTAAACCAATAAGTATGTTATATTGATCTTACTGTTTGTCACTTTTAACGCTGAGTCCTAACCCCCTTCAAAAAAAGAAGTCGATTGTGCCATGTACCATTTGATCTTGGAGGTGGTTAATTTTCATAACTATGTCAATACCAAAGACTTTCATAAAATTCAGCCTTGGAGGATGCCATCTCTACAAGAAAAAAAAATAAAAAAGAACGTGAAGGTGCTTATGAATTCCAAATTTCTGAAAGTAGAGAAAGTGCAATTTAATCCAACCCAAGGTGAGATCTAAACACTACACACCTCTTGGGATTCGTGCTGGCTATTTGGCGCCACCTGCTGACCAATGAGAACAAGCCACACTAGGACCTCCAAGGCAGCCGCCAACCGGGGCTCCAACTCCCTCCACACCTGACTCCTAAGTGAGCCTGACTCCCACCATTTCCCCCATGCGTCCCTCTTCCTACCACTGACTTATCCCCAGATCAGTGACTGCTTCCCACAGATTTCTCAACAAGCAAGTGCTAATCCTTTCCCTAACCTTTAAATAAGTCGTCCAAACACCTAAGCGTATTTTGTCCTAAAAATTCTTCTTTAATGGTGTTTGTTCTTTAACAACACCATTTTTCCTTAAAGAGGAAAGTGGGAATCAAAAGTCTGTGTACAAAAGGAATATCAATGCTATCAGTTATTCTTTTTATTCAGTTGTTTCACTTGAGCGTCTAAGAACTTGGATATCAGGATCATTTTTCTTCAAGATGCTCCATCTGTCCTAAGATAATATCCTTATCAAACAGTTGATTTTTTATAATGGAATCTTTTTTTTTCCCCAGGAAATGTCAAAGCAAAATATCCTAAACCCCACCGGGCCACAGTGAAAGGGTGCTTCTAGGTATTCAATAGCAACAACGGAGTAACCTAAGGGTAAAGGAAAAGTCAGTGTCAAGGGAAGAAGTGGATAAGCGTGCCCAGAGCATGGGGATTCCAAAAAGCCCAGCACACTATAAACACCATTACCCCCAATCTACTTCAACAAGCGCCAGCTGAGAGGGAAGTTTATATCACACATGGAGGTGTCTCCCGTAGGTTATCTACAAAGGGCTAGATTTTCCCAAGGTGTTATCAGCCATGTGTCCCCACAGCCAGTGACGTAATCTGTGCTTCTTAAATGGCTGAGGGGAGATTAGGAGGAGAGAAGAGTGGAGAGCCGGCCATCTTGAAACTCTGCCTGGTGGGTCTGCCATTTGGAAAGCATGAGAGGACTATATAAGGTTGGCATGAAACAAGACAATCTCCTCTCCCAGAGAACGGCTCTCATTGCCCCAACGGGCTCAGTGAGGGCCCAGATTCTGACTGACTTGATCATCACAGCAGAAAGTCATTAAATAATCCCTGAATGAATAAAAATCAATAATATCCTGGATGCGATATGAATAATACCCATGTTTTTGTGGCTAGGTTTTGGGAAGATGGTTAAAAACACATACCTACCTTCCCTGCCCTAAACCTGTGTGTCTGTATGTGTGTGTCTGTATGTGTGTAAAAACAAGGAATATTTAAGTCCAAGACCCCTCCACCAAATACTCTTCTCTAACCCTACATGCTATAAACTGGAATTTTCCAAAAGATACAAAAAAATTCCAAAGGTTCATCATTTTCTTCTTCGATAAGAAGACAATAATTTTATTTCTTCAACTGGCAGACCAAAACAGAAAAAGACCAGGAAAAGGCAAATAGGTTCCTCCAGCTCTTGCATGTGCTACACTACAAGGTCATAACCATCAAGAAAAAAGCCAGAACATTACCATTCCAAGTTTCAGTAGTGTTCTATTAGTTCACCTCTTTTTTGATTAAAATTCCATATATCAATACCTGGCAAAGTCCAGAGGGAAAATACCTTATCTGCTTACTTCCCAAGACGCCAAATCTGTTTTCCATGTGACACAGGTATTAGATAAATGCACAGGTTTTTTTATTCTTTAGTTATCTCCAAGTTTCCTTCCACTGCCCTCTTCTGTTTCTGTATAAAATCTCCCCCGGTAATGGTACCCACCCCCAATCTCTGGCTCCTCCCCTATGCTGACAGCTGCTGCCTGGACAGCTAAGTGCAGGGGCCCTAAGGGTCACCAGGTCAGTGTCTAAAACTAAACCCATAATTTCTCCCTCCAGACCCCGTCTCCTTTCCATCACTCCCTCACTGAATGGCACTCTCCTTTCTCCCAGTTACCTCAGCTAGACACCTTGCAGTCTTCCCTCATCTCTCCCTCTCCTCCCATCTTCAGCCCCCAAGGCTGCTTGTACCTCCCTGACAATCAGGAGTTAGCTCAAGCAACAGTTTTTTCTTTTCTTTTCTTTTTTTTTTTAAGATTTCATTTATTTGAGAGAGAGAGAGAATGAGAAATAGAGAGAGCACATGAGAGGGAGGGTCAGAGGGAGAAGCAGACTCCTTGCTGAGCAGGGAGCCCAACGAGGGGCTCGATCCACTGACTCCAGGATCATGACCTGAGCCGCTTAACCAACAGAGCCACCCAGGCACCCCGAAACAGTTTTTTCTTTTTCCAGCAACTCACCTCCAATTTTAATCCCTACCCTTTCCCTGACATTGCCACCAGAGGGACCTTTCCCAAATGTAAGTCCAATCATTTCATTCCTGACTAAAACCCACCGAGGCCCAAGCCTTCAGAAAAATGCCCAGAAACCTCTGAAGCAAAAGGGGACTCTTCACGAGGGGACTCTTCACGAGGGGACTCTGACCAGCTCTCCAGTGTGGTCTCAATATTCCTGTCCTAAGCTCTTGTAGCTCCTGAAGGAGATAAGTCAGGCTCTTGATTTACCTCCAAACGATTGGGAAACAGCTTTTTCCTCTACCCACAAATCCTAGCTTAGGTTATCACCTTACCGTAACTACCTCTTACCAGTTACCACCACTACCTTCTGGTCTGAATTAAGACAACCTTAGAGAACCCTGAATATGTCCTCCCTCCCAGACACCTTATACACCACTGACCTATCACTTAGCATTATAAGACTGTTTCATAAGTACTAAACTTCTATGTACTTATTGTCACTAGGCCATAGGCTCTCGAGGTCATGTTCCCATCATATTGTTCTTATATCTTCTCAACTCCTAGTGGGGTGCTCAGAAACATTAAATGCTTCCTGATTATTTATTTGTGCCTGGCTGGGTGGATGGGTGGGAGACTGGTAGGTAGAGGTCGGAAAGGTGAGGGCACAGGGACAATGTCAATTCAAGCTGCCACTCTGGTACTAACTCCATCAGACACAAAGGCCAAAACACACACTCACTGGAGCTACATTGATCTCCTGGGCACCCTGCTTTCAAGGAAGTCACAATTTTAGACTAGTCACAATTTTAAACGTGAACATAGATT